GTTCATATTACTACCCCCATACCCCTTCCGTTCATATTACTACCCCCCCATACCCCTTCCGTTCATATTATTACCCCCTATACCCAGGGCCGGTGCAAAGAATTTTGGGTACATAGGCGAAGATGCATTTTTCCGCCCCCCCAAAAACATCTTCACCCATGTGCCTCTTAACCTCCCTTTTGTGTTTCTTATCCCGTCTTTTAAATATCTGACTCCCTTTAGTGTATTTTATCTACTATTTTTGCCTTTGTGTGTCTCCTATCTCTCCTCTTTGTATGACTCTTACATCCTCCCACATTTTGTGTCTTACTCCTCCCAGCCCCTTTGTGTGACTCCTTTTCTCCCAGCCCATTTGTGTCTTTTATTCTTCCCAGCTCCTTTGTTTGTGTCTCTTTCCTTCTCAAGCCCCGCTGTGTGTTTCTTTCACATCCGGCCCCTCTCCCCATCCCTTAATGGTCCGCTCCCTTCTCTGACCCTTACTGTTCCTTTCCCTTCCCGCCTCCTTTCCCTGTCCCTTAGTGTTCCTCTCCCCTCCCCCATCTGTTGGCTGTCGCTTAGTGTTCCTCTCCCCCCCTCCCTCCTTTTCCTGTACCTTAGGGTATCTCTCCCCTCCTCTCCCTGTCCCTTGGTGCGCCACCCACCCCATAGTGGTCCCCTCCCCTTCCTGGTGTGCCTCCTACCTTTTTTGTAACGTGGCTGAGCGGAGCGAATCCCGGTACAGTGAGCTTTTCCTGTAAGTTCTGCCAGGTACAGGAAACAGAAGTTCCTGTACCACGGTACACTCCGCTTGGCCACGCTACAGTCAGGGGTGTATAAACACTGACAGTCACACACACTCAATGACAAACACACAGACATCTCTGACAGCCAGACTCACTTATCTGACACACTCATTCATTGACAGACACTCACACGCACACTGACAGACTCATTGAAAAACACACACTGACACACACACACACAAACTCACAGACACCGACAGACACACGTACTCACATGCACACATGCACATACTGACAGACACACATACTCACACACACACTGACAGAACCACACACACACACAAACTCACAGACACACACACTCACACACACATACTCACATGCACACACACACTGACAGACACACATACTCACACACACACACTGACAGACACACATACTCACACACACACTGACAGACATACTCACATGCACACACACACACTGACAGACACACATACTCACACACACACTGACAGACATACTCACATGCACACACACACACTGACAGACACACATACTCACACACACACTGACAGACACACATACTCACACACACACTGACAGACATACTCACATGCACACACACACACTGACAGACACATACTCACACACACACTGACAGACATACTCACATGCACACACTGGCAGACATACTCACATGCACACACACACACACTGACGGAACACACATACTCACACATGCACACACACACACACACACACACACACACTGACAGACACACACATACTCACACACACACCCGACAGACACACATACTCACACACACACTGACAGACATACTCACACATGCACACACACACTGACAGACACACATACTCACACACACGCAGCAGACACACACATACTCACATGCACACACACACACACACACACACTGACGAACACACATACTCACACACACACTGACAGACACACATACTCACACACACACACTGACAAGACAAACTCACAGACACACACTCACACACACATACTCACATGCACACACACACTGACAGACACACATACTCACACACACACTGACAGAACCACACACACAAACTCACATGCACACACACACTGACAGACACATACTCACATGCACACACACACTGACAGACACACATACTCACACACACACTGACAGACATACTCACATGCACACACACACTGACAGACACACATACTCACACACACACTGACAGACACACATACTCACACACACACTGACAGACACACATACTCACATGTACACACACACACACAGAAATTAATAATCTTAATTAAATTTAAATTTCCCACCCAGCCTCCCTACCTGGAGAGCTGGCGTGGGTCTCTCATTGGTGGTCCAGTGGGGCTGCTGGGAGGCGTGCGGCTGAATTGGATTCCGAGGTGGCGAGGGAGCTCTGATCTCTCTGATCTGCTCCCTCGCAGGCTGTTTACTGATGCCGCGGGAGCCGGAATATGACGTCATCAGTCAGCAGCCTGCGAGGGAGCAGATCAGAGAGATCAGAGCTCCCTCGGCATCCAATTCATCCGCACGCCGCGCCGGGGATCCAGGAGGTGACCTGGCAGGAGGGAGCACTTCCCTCCTGCCGGTCACTGGAATTTTGCGCCCCCAGAGCCGGTGCGCCCTAAGGCGGCCGCCTGTGCCGCCTTATGGACGCGCCGGCCCTGCCTATACCGCTTCCATTCATATTACTACCCCCTATACCCCTTCCGTTAATATTACTAACCCCCATACCGCTTCCATTCATATTACTACCCCCTCCTATTCATATTACTACCCCCACAGCCCCACCCCCTCTAGTCATATTAGTAGCCCCCTTACCCCTTCATTCATATTAGTACCCCCCTCCATTCATATTAATACCCCCTCTTACTCCCCTCCATTCATATTTGTACCCCCTCCATTCATATTTGTACACCCTCCTACCCCACTCCATTCATATTTGTACCCCCTCCTACCCCCTCTATTCATATTAGTACTCCCACCCCCTCCATTCATATTAGTACCCCTTCTACCCCTATTAGTACCCTTCCACCCCCCTCCATTCCTATTAGTAGCCCCTAACCCCTTCCATTAATTTTTCTACCCACCCCCCTCCCCAAATTATATCTCCCCTCTAACCCTTCCATACTAAATACCTGGCAGTGGCAGGGCAGGCAGCTGCTTTTTTTTTTCAGAGCCGGCGTCTGAGCTTATAATGACGCCGGCTCCACTCTCCCCCTTGCACACTGTTGTCCCCCTCCCTGCCGTTTTACCGCACAGAGCAGGGGAGGGGGACCTCTTCGAGCGGCGCACGGTGTCAGACTGAGCGCGAGGTAGTCACGTGACACCCGGCACTCCTATGCAGAGTGGGAGGGGGAGGCGCTCCCCCTCCCAGTGTACACTGCGTTCGATTCCATTATGGAGCCGCACGCAGCCTGTCAGGGGGACGGCAAACACCACTTGTCAGTCTGACAAGTGATTTTTGCGCTCCCCTTCGGCCGGCGGACCTGGGGGGATTTCTGCATTATCTGTTCCCCGGATGATTTCCTGGGGGGATGCATCTCCCCCATCCCCCCGGTTCCTACGCCCGTGACTCTGAGCATGGAGATCCCCTGTTCTACCTACCCCAACAATTTGTTATAACTGGATGCGTTTGCATAACTCTCTGCTGAAGTAAGCCCAGCCCCTCAGTGACAAATATCCCAGAAGGAAGCTATGCTTTCTTCTGTCTGTACAAATATTTGTATGCTATGTCTGCCAAGCGTCCTGCAATGGAGTCAGAACTAAAATGATGTTTAACAAAATACTAAGCCAAAAGGAGATCTTAACCGACTGGTTTAATTTTATTATGAAATTGCAAATGCTGGCCAAGCATCTCCCACCTGAAGTGTCCCTTTAAGTATCATGTTTTATTAACGGTTTGAAATCTTATTAACAGACTATTTTCCCCGACAAGTATATGCCCTGGTTCCTATGCTTTAAGCAGTGCTTAGAATTTAAAGTCCAACACTACTAGCCATGCCTCAAAAGTCACTTGCCACTGGAAGCCTGGAGGGTCCCTGGCAAACTTAAGGGGACTCTAGAGTCACCAAAAATTTTTTAGCTTAATGAAGCAGTTTTGAAGTGTAGATTATGCCCCTGCAGTCTCACTGCTTAATTCTCTGCCATTAAGAAGTTATATCACTTTGTTTATGAACCCTAGTCACACCTCCCTGCATGTGACTTACACAGTCTTACTAAAAACTTCCTGCAAAGAGTCATCTATATTTCCTTTATTGCACATTCTGTTTAATTTAGAATTTCTTTATCTCCTGCTCTGTTAAGAGCTAGTTAGACCCTGTTAGCCTCCTGTGTGTGATTAAAGTTCAATTTACAGAGCAGGAGGTAAAACTTTTAAAGTAAGTTTTTCTGATTGAGAATGAAACCCTTTTGTTTCCAAGCAGGCTGTGTCAGTCACAACCAAGAGAGGTATGGCTAGGGCTGTATAAACAGAAACAAACGCGATATAACTTCTAAATGGCAGATAATTGAGCAGTGAAACTGTGATTTATACACAAACACTGCTTCATTAAGCTGAAGTTGTTTTGGTGACTATATTTTCCCTATAACAGAGATGAGTATCTGAATTTTCTGTAGCAAATGGAAACATTCAGCCCTATTTAAAGTGCTGCATTCTAATTTTAAAAATAATGTATACTTTCAATTTTTAAAGGAACACTCTAAGGAACATAACCACTCCAGCATGCCAGGACACTCCTGGTACCATAACCACTATAATCACTACAAGACGCTTTGTGGTTATGGTGCTTAGAGTGTTTCTTTAATTTATACAATAGTATATATTTTTTCAATAAAAGTGTGATATTCACTATTCTCTTTCCAACAGCTTTTTTTTTAAATGAACTCATGATTTAAAATCTGGAAAAACCTTTGGGTTAAAAATGAATTAATTTATGATGTTTTTTATCATCTCTGAGGCAATCGGTTCCTTCAAATATTTCATATTAATGTAATATTGTTTTTCTCTTTGGATCATACATAAATAATGTTCTAACTGACTCTTATTACGTTTGCATGTTCCTCCATTCCTTTGTGTAATATGAAGACAGCGAGATGTGTATTGCGTAATGAACGATGGGGTCAGAATGATATTACCCCGTGTCTTATAGGAATAACGAGTTCCATTTCCGGAAGTATTTAATTAACCTTGCAAGTACTTATAATGTGGCTAATTAATGACTTGCATACAATACTTAACTCTGTTACTCCCAAATGGGTTCATAAAGAAAAGCAATTGTAAAATATGTGTGAGACTATTAACGTAGTTTGATGGTAGCAGGAATGGGAGGATGTGTTCGCATTGAAATATCATGGTAATGGAATGTTCTCTCTTGCCAACAGATCATGATTGAGTGACAAGAATATTCTCGGAAGACGGAGCATAGTAGAGTAAGGTCATAGGCTCGTAGAACAGGATGCATTTTTTAAAATTTAATTCTCTTACTTACACACGACCATCTCACCCGTGTTTCTCAACAGTGTTTATTTGGGCGACATTCCGTTTCTTTATAAAAACCTCCATCACAATGCCACTCTTGGTTTTGAAACTTTGGTCGGTAATCCATGTTTGGTTTCAGCAAGATCGAAATCCAAAAATGTTTTAGACACTTTCTGCAGTTGTTATCCCTATCCCCACACACTTCCAAAATTAAAAGAAAATTTACCAAAAATATCCTTTATTATTTAAAGCAGTGGTTCCCAATTCTCAAGTACCCTCCTAACAGTCCAGGATTTAAAGATTGCCCAGTTGTGTGTAGGGTGTTTTTAGAAAAAGAAAAAAAAAACACTTTAGACACAACAGGGTAATCCCTAAATCCTGTACTGGTAGGGGGTACTTGAGGATTGGGTTAGGAACCCATGGTTTAAAGGGACACTGTAGGCAGTATAACCATCTCATGTCATTAAATTGGTTATAGTGCCCCAGAGTCCACTGGCTCTGTCCCTCCATTCAGTGTTAAACCATTTTCAAGAAGGTTAGGACTGAATGAGAGTATCTGGCTACCAACAAGCTGCCCCGCACTGGAGGAGTGGCTAAGGCAGAGATTACACTCTTTCTAAACCATACAAATTAATACCAGCAATAGGCGACTGTGATAGGTTTCATAGGCTTCTCAGCCAATCACCACCGCGCATTGCATTCTCATTAGCCTGAGCAACATTGAGGGGTCAGGGTGCTGAGGATTCGAATTTTGCCTAGACCATTAAAAACACTTTAACACTAAATGGAAAGACAGTGCCATAGGACCTTAGACACTATAACCACTTCAAAGAGATGATGCAGTTACAGTATCTACAGTGTCCCTTTAAATATAATTATGCATTATGTTCCTCCAGATTGCCGACAGAGCTGGAATCGGGACCTCAGCGCTGTAAACAGGTGGACAATCATTTTAGTGCCTAGGGACACTATAGTGTTAGGAATACACTTTTGTATTCCTAACACTAAAGTGTTCCTTTATTTTTTTATGTAAATGTAAAGTGTTCCTTTTTTTTAATGTAAATTTAAGAACTTTCATTCAGAGAACAAATAATGCCAAAAGCATAGAAAAGTAACTGAGCAATAATAATATGATCACACCTGCATTATCAATAATGACGTCAGAGTGGGAGGAAAGGTCACCAGCACCGAGGGAGCCCAGCGCTAGATTAAAGTAAGTAACTGAAGGGGTTTTAACCCCTTCAGCCCAGCGGGAGGGGGGCCTTGAGGGTGAGGGTCCCCCAAGGATGATATAGTGTCAGGAAAACGAGTTTGTTTGCCTGACACTATAAGGATCCTTTAAATTATTTGAGCAGTGTTTCTTATTTTATAATACAACTACAGTTCTGTTGACAGTGGAGGCATTGTTAGATTAACAAGGCTTTTTCCTTTCCTCTGTGAAAATATAATCAATGAAAGATCTCTTTAACATAGAAACATAGAATGTGACGGCAGATAAGAACCATTCGGCCCATCTAGTCTGCCCAATTTTCTAAATACATTCATTAGTCCCTGGCCTTATCTTATATCTAGGGTAGCTTTATGCCTATCCCATGCATGCATAGTCTCCCTCACTATGTTAACCTCTACCACTTCAGCTGGAAGGCTATTCCATGCATCCACTACCCTCTCAGCAAAGTAATACTTCCAGTATATTATCACGTTCTCAAATATCTCTACGTACCCTTTTTCTTAACGTCAAAATACAGTACAATCTATTCTGCTTGCACTTTGATTTATTTTATAGTAAACGAAATTGCCTGCTATAAAATCATTAGGTTTACTCAATGTATTCTTATCTAGAAATGTGGTTTGTAGTTCCCATATACGGAGCATATTCTGCTGTTGAGAAATTTAATAATTTTTTTT